TATTTTTAATTATACGCAAGGATTTGGCTGCTGCCCTCGTTCTGCGTCTAATGTTTGTTCACTTGAAGATTGCCGATAGAGATGCAGATATGTGAGTAACTGAGAACGGAGCGAACTGAGGGCCGTTCGCCAATTTGTATTGAGCGAGCGGGGAGTGGTCAAGAGGGTGGCGGAAGGAGGAGGAGGCAGCAGGCAGGAGGCAGGCAGCGTGCGCATCCTTATGCATTGCGCTGTGTTCTGTGGGCTCGAAACTTCTAATCACAGCCATTCACCCCATTTAGCTGCTGCCTTTTTGGCTGTCATACATATACGCACGCGTGTGTGTGTGTGTGCATTGTATCTATGTATCTTTGTATCTTTTGTGCCTTGGACTGCTTTTGCAGTCTAATCTAGCGCAGCGATCGCTTGCTGTCAGCTTCTTTATTACCTCCGATTTGATTGTCATTCGATTCGATTTAATCATCTCCTTGTCTTTGACACTCGAATCCCTTGACCATTACGCATACGCCTTGTGTGGCAGCAGCTGCTGCTGCTGCTGCTGTTGCTTCTACTCTCGTCTCCATTCAAGCAGCACCCCCATATCCCTTCCCGCTGCCTCCCTCATTCTCTCGCTCTATTCAGGGCAAACTCGTTTCGCATTGATCAAAATTTATAGAAGAAAACAAAACATAAAAAAAAAAAAAAAACAAAATACAAATCCCCATCAAATGCGCCTTTGAATGAGAAATCAAGTACAGGGGCCAAAGCAGTGCGGGTCAAGGGGCAATGGCGAAGGCGAGGGCGAGGGTGGCGGGGGGTCAACGAGCATGTCCCATATGCTGTCGCATGTGTGTGCGCGTTTGTTGCTCAGCGGAAGAGTAGAAGGACGTCGAGTTTTTGCTCGAAACAGGATGCAAATACTGAAGCAGGCCACAAACAAATTTCAGGTAGACTCTGTGTGTGTGTTCCTGTGTGTGTGTCAGGTAAAGCAAATGCAAAAGCAAAGCTTAGATTTAATAAAGACTCTGGCCCTGCCCTAATGCGTCCTGCTTAGGCGCCTTAAGAAAAAACAGCAAAAGAAAAATGCAATTATTCTCTTTGATATCATTCAAGCCAAGAAGTTATCACGTTAATGACAGTTAATTAAAGTTACAACAGAAAGTATATTCCTTAAGTTAGATTTAATGATTATTAACACTTGGTTAAATTTGGCGGGAAAATGGCCAGATAGCCAACCATGCGCGGCAAGTTCAGTGTGGCCTATAATAAATAAGTACACACACTCTCACATGTACGTATGTATGTAGGCGTGTGTGCATGTTTCTTGAAGGCTCTAACATAAATCGTCATCTAGGCTGCTGGCGCTCAGACTCTGCTCACTCATTTCGCTCTCTCTCTCTCTCTCTCTGTGCCTGTGCCTGTGCCTTCGCTCTCTCGAGCTATTTTCATTTTCTGCTAATTCGTGCATTTGTTTCCCGAATTCTGTTCTACTAAATGCGAAATCTCTTCTATGCATATCATGGCGTCTTATGCGTCGGCGCACATGCCCTCATACACATACACAAGCTGTTTGTGTGTGTGTGTGTGTCTGTATGTGTGCCTTACTTGATTCTCATGGCTCTTCTCACGTTCCGCTTGTTTGTACTCATTTAGCGTGCGTTTGATCCACATTATTTCGGTTTCGTTTTTTCTCTGTAGTTTTTTCCCATTTTAATTCTTCTGTGTGTGTGTGTTTTTTTTTTTTTTTTTTTGTTCCCTACTACATTTTTGTGTGCTCCTTTTTGTGTTTGTGTTCATTAGAAATTTCCAAGAATTCAGCGACACACAACACACACACACACATACACGACAAGATTCGTGTTACTGCTGGCTTAGTTTTTCAAGAATGCTGCTGCTGCTGCTGCTGCTGCCGTTGCCGCTACCGCAAGCTGATGCTGAGCAGACCAAAAAGGAAGCGAGAGAGTTTCTGTACCTTGTCACTGCGGCGACGGCGAAGGCGTCGTCAACGTCGACGTCGACGCCGGCTACTTTTATTCAAGCATCATTATGATGTTGCAGAATCAGCTTACAAATATGGATGCGTGTGTATATGTATATGTACCGATATACATACATATGTAATTGTATTAAATTGCTTATCATTTTTACATTTTGAAATGTTTCAGTTTAAAGGAGATTACAAACACATACATACATATGTAAATGTTCATATTATATACAATACAAATATGTATATATGTAAACATATCGTTCACTCTCTCACTCCTATAGCTTCGTATTTGGCGCGCTCGTTGACCAACTGTCGCGCGACACGTGCAGAGAGAGCTCGCGAAATTCTTGTAACTCGCGAATATTCCTCCAAAGACTTTTTATTTTTTTGCATTTTCGAGAACAATTCGGCTTTTGACTTTCTTCTACCGTTATTTCACCGGTTGAGTGGCGTTCACTTTCCACACTTGGCAGCAGCAGCACAACGGCAGCGGCAGCTGCATTCGCGGCGTTGATCAGCAACCCTTTTTCGCAGATCCTTGCGTTCGACACGCACTGCAGCAGGACAGAAACAGGAGCAGGTAGAGCCAGTTGCCAGGCCATTGTTATTGTCCTTGCGAAAGAATTGATAAGGGAAGAAAGCCTTTCACTGCCGCCGCAAAGGGTTGATACCCTGCCGAATTATTGCCACTTGGGGCCACACTTCGCGAATTTGCCATATTTCCTGCTCTACCTTCTCCCTCTGTCGTTACTCTACTTTTGGCCTAACAGTTCTCGCCGCTTTTATCTTAGTGACAGCTGCCATTTGAATAGCTTTTAGCACACTGTTAAAAGCTCAGCAAAGCGGACATGAGAATACGAGCCTCTCTCTTCTCACTTACACACACGCACAGTCTCTCAGGAAATGTTGGTGAGAGCGCAAGAGCGCCAAGAGCGTTGCATTGAACACCAAAGGCAATAACAGTGGGAAGTACACACACGCACACGAAGACATGTGCACTGATCTATTAAAATGTTAGGCGGGGAAGCTTTTGAGAGCACGCGTGTTTAACTTTGTTCCAGCTCTGCTCTGCTCAGCGTGGCGCTGCTCTGCTCTGCTCTGTTCCTTGTATGTTTTAGGTGACGTCGCTGCGTGCTGTTAGCTGCTGCTGTTGCTGCGCTGCCCGTTATCAGCAATACACGATCAAAAGCTAAACAGCGGTCGGCCAGCCGGCTGGTTGGCTGTAAGCGTTGTCGCTACTCTTGCTGCCGCTGCTGTTTATTGAGGCCATTGAACTACCAAAATAAAGTCGAAATTTTTTATTAACCTTAAGCGGTTGTTGCCTGCACAACTGCTTACAACTGTTATTACCGTTTTTCTTTTATTTACTTAGTTGCGGAGTTTTGCCCGCTTTTGCGGTCAACATAACTAAGTATATGCTTATACATACATATGTATAAGTATATGTACATACATACATATGTGCTTGTGTATATGTATGCGAATGTGTCAAACATACATACATATGTACATACATGCCATGCTGTTCGTACATAACTCTGTTGTCAATTATGGCGCCAACAACACCGGCGACGTCACTGTTAACAAAAATGTTCATAACATCAGCAGCTACAACAACGATTGACCGGAAATAACAAATAAATGAGGCAGGCGTGCACGCTGCCACAAAACAAAGCAGCGCACACACATACGCACAGTCGCTCACTCACGCACACTATTGTCCGCTTATCGGTACGCATGCATTGCGAATGCGAATGCGTGACGTAATCGTGGACTGAATTGTTGCATTTCAGTGCAGAGAAAAACACGAAAAAACGTAATCAAAACGCTATATAAGGGAGAGAGAGAGAGTGAGTGAAATGGCACTTGCATGCACACAAACAAATCAAATGGTAATATGTTTATGCATGTATGTTTGTATGTGTGAGAAAAAGCGCAACAAATGAGAAAGAGCAGAAGAGTGAGACCATCGCGCCACCGCTGACGCCGGCTATTGAGCTTCAAAAGACTGCTGCTGCTGCGTTCTGTGTGTTAAGCTTTTGTCGCGCAACAGGGTTGTCGTCAATCTGTCAATATTGACACCCAATAGAATGTCCATAATTGATCATGCAAAGGGATATATGATCTTAATTTATTTGTTTCTTTTTTAATATTGTGGCTCATATCTGGCTGCACCACATATGCATGTACATTTGTATATACATCCATACATACATATGTATGTACATAGGTATGTTATGTACTCGCATTTTTCCCACTTTTATGTTCAATGCTGCTCTGCTGTTACTCTTCATCGTTTTCCCTTTTTTTTTTTGCAAGTGTTGCGCGCTAATCATGTACATACATAGTTGTTGCCTCGCCTTACCTTCACTTCACCAACACAACAGCAATCCGAAGTAAGAATAACAACAGCAGCGCAGCGCAAGAAGAGCAATAGCAGCGACCACTTTGGCGTTTATTGTCGCTTTGCAGCCGCGTAACCGACGGGCTGCTTTCCTCTCTCACTCTCTCACACTTGCTCACTTACTCAATCACTCTGTCTCTCTTAACGGTGCTCCAACACCCGGCCACTTGCGATTTTGCTTTACTGTCCCATCAATTCGCCGCCGTTGTGCGCCTTGCTCTTTGCTGGGCCTGTTTCAGTTTCAGTAGTTAAATGCTCTTTGCATTTTGCGGTCGTCTTATTCGGAAATACGCGACGTAGTTGGCAAGCAACAACAAATATATATATATATACATATATAAAATAAAATATAAAAAAAGAAGAAATATACAACAGCTCGGCAACGCGAAGCAAAAATTATAAAATATTTTACGCCCGCTGTTAGTGCCAGTGTCTGCGTGTTGTTTTTACTTTTTTTTTTTTTTTTTGTAATAGTCATTGGTCGCTGGTCGTCGTGGGCGCAAAAAAATAAAAAAAAATACAAAAATTGTGCTGCTTTGTGTTCTTCGAAATTAGCTTAAAGCTTTTAGTGATATTTGTAATAGAAGAGCAGCAACAACAAATAGAAACAAGCTGTGACAAGTGAGTGATGATAGTTAGATCTTTAAAGAGAGTAGAAAATAGAAGGAAAGAAAAAACGAAAAAAGTAACAAATTGGTCTTTTTTCCTCGTTGTTTGTATAGTTTTTCTTTTTCTTTTTTTTTTTTTTTTTTTAAATTGACTTCAAATTTTTTCAATTTTTGCGTTCACGCATGCAAATAGTCACGCATGCTCGTGTGTATGTGTGTGAGAGAATGAATATGCTCGGTTGAAAAAGGGACGGACTCTAGCAAAAAAAATGGCATACATATGTACGTTGTACCGTTATGACGTATACGACAAGCCGGCGTTTGTATATGTAACGGTTTTTGGTTCTATTCGAACGTTTCATTTTCAGTTCACTTCTTAGTTTAGTATTGAATCGCGAGACGTCGGTTGTTATTGTTGAACGCGCTTAAATCAAACAGCGAATGATTTTAAAAATCAATTAAAGTGATACGCAGAAACTTTTCTTTGACTAGTTGCACTCAGCCCAAAAGATACAACGCCAACAACAACAGTCAAGTAAACTGACCTACTTTGTTCGACTCTGACTTGTGTAGTCATTAATCGGAGTCTGTGCTCTGCTCTGGCTTTGGCTGTGGCTCTCTCAGTTTTATGAGAGCAGAGGCAAATTGAGCATGAACATTGTTGATCTGCTTGCAGTTTTGTTTTTATTTTTGCAGTGCAATTCAGCTCTCTTATACTTCGGCCGCATTCGGCTGGCCCGAATTTACAGCACTGCACAATGGCATTCTTCGCTCGTGCGTCCATGCTCCAAGTTGTTTGAAGAGGGGCGAGCGGCAACAGTATTATTCATTACTCTGCATACTGCGCGCTAATTAGCTAGACATGCCACGCATATGCATACATACATCAGTGCGTGTACGAATAGAAAATAGTTCAAATATAGCTGCAATCATAATTTAAATATTCACATTTATCGATAGGCAGTATCGATAATTTAGCACGTGCACATGCAAATTGTGAGCATGCGCCATTCGCTCAATATTGCGTTATATTTGATTTAGTTTCGCCTTCTCTTATTAACTTTTTGTGAGTCAGCGTTTACTTTGGACTCATGTTGCTGTGCAGTCTATTTCTATTGCCCTCCTTCCCTCCTGCTGATTTGTCCACAAATTGAAAGCACAAGACAACGAATCAAAGCCCATACGCGTGACTACAAAAAAAAAGTGAAGCAAGCAAGGCAAGAAGCAGCAGCAGTGCTAAAAGATGAACAACTATAACAACAACGAGCACGAAAACCGACACAAAATAAAATCATAATCATATCAGTAGCACAAATTCTGCGTGTGATTAACGAAGTGAGCGAAACTGAGGCTACCGAAACGTTCGTAGTGAGCGAAACTGAGGCTACCGAAACGTTCGTAGTGAGCGACACTGAGGCTACCGAAGCGTTCGTAGAGAGCGACACAGGCTACCGAAGCTCTCTCGTTCACACACACACTAATTTGTAGCCGCGTAGGCATGCGAGAGATTATATATACATGTGTGTGTCGTGAGCTGCGCGACTAGCGTTGGCGTCATGATCGCGACGTTTTCAATTGTATTCGTAATTCCACTTAACGCGCGCGCGTTCTCTTCGTTCTCTTATACCTGTACATGCGTGAGTGTGTGTGAGCATTTGCGTTGCCTTTTCTCACAATTTTGTCATGCATCTCTTTTAGTTAGTTGAGTTGATTTTTCTATGAAGCAAAGAAAAGGCAAAACAAACAAAGAAAAAGAACGACGAATAGAAAAAGTGAGAGCAAAAGCTGTGTGTGTGTATATGTATGTGTAGAAGTAATATACAAAAATACATACATATATTTCCATACGCACAAACAAGCAGAAAATTACAAACACGAAATTGCAGCCAAAGCAAAATCCAAAACCGATACTGAAACTGAAATTGAAACAAGAAAAAACTGAAAATATGCACAGCAACAACAGCGGCGGCGGCGGTAATTACCCCAACAACAATCACACCGGCAGCAGCTACAACAACAGAATCAATATCAACAGTAATCATTATTATAATCATCAACAAAATACAAAATTACTACGTATTTATGATCGGTGAGTGTTTTTTAATGGTCTCTGTCTCTCTCCCTGTCTTTGTCTATCTCACTCGCTCAATGCTTATTATTGAGCGGAAATGTATGTTTTCAGTGTTGGTAAACACATGTAAGTCTTTCTAGCTTTCAACAGTAGATCGGTCATATTCGGCGTTGCCAACTTATCGAAAATCAAATTGCAGGGGAAACAAATTTGATTTGATTTAACTTTTTTTTTCCCTCGTAACTTTGCACTTATTTACAATGTATTTGTGTTTGCATTTGTGTCACATTGCTCATTAAATAAATCATTAATAAATGAAAATTAATTAAGCAATTAAACTCCCTTGTATACCCTTTTACATTGAGTACATACGAATTGCTTAGAGGAGGCAGATTCGTATGCATATGTTCATAAACATTTAAATATTTGTACACATATTCAAATTGTTTTTAAAATGCTTTTGTAGTTAACGAAACTAAAGTTGTTCATTTTATAAATTTTACTTCATATAGATGCTACATATGTGTATATATAATAAAATTATATGTACATATATAATGATATAAATATCTATATTCTATACCGGTACATTTTTTAATTCGGAAAGAGTATGGTATGGTTTTTCCTCGCTTTAATTAATTTGTGACATTATTGCTATGGCTTGCCGCATACCCCACTAATGAGTGCTGCAATTGGTAAATGACCCATTTCTATTTGACTTAAGAACTGTCAAAGCCATTAAAAGGAGGGCAAAAAAAAAAACGGTAAAAGCAGAGAAGCACAATGGGAAAAGCAATTGCAACAGGGGCTAAGCAAATGAAAGGGATATATGTACATACATATGTACCTATGCATATACATATACAAACATACATAAATATATATTTGTTTGTGTGCGGCTTTTGCCGGGCAATTTGGGTCAAAACGGCAACAATAACAAAAATGCAACGACAGCCTGAAACAAGTTTCGAGTATACACAGTAATGTAGCTACAAATACAGATGCACACATACATACATATATGTATGTATGTAGGTGTATAGACATATGTTGACAAAGACTAGCGTCAGCTAGCCACAGCTGCAGTGGGAGGGGCCACTAGATAAGTAACGCAAAAAAAAAAAAAAAAAAAAAAAAAAAAAAAAAAAAAAAATAAATAAAAATAAAATAAAATCGAATATAGCGAAAGAGAATGAAGTGCATTAACAACAGTAAAAACTAACGGTAGCTGATGCTATTAAGCGAGCAAGAGTGACGCGAAAGCAACTGGTGGATGAGTGCGCTGGTATTGGCTCCAGGCAAGGCACCAGACACATAAATACATGTATATATATACATATGTACATATATAGCAATATGTGCACGCAAGTATGCGTCATGCAGTGCAGCGATCTATGCTTGTATAAATAAGTCTTTATATGTATGTATGTCTGTTTTTATGTAAATAAATATGCAGGCGAATGCAAATGCGCAAAGAAAAACAAAAACAGCAACGCACAGCAAACACAGCTGTAGAGGGCGGCGATGCAACAGATTTCAGACATTTTCATTCATAAAATTAATAAAAACAACAAAAAGCAAACAACGAAACGTGCTCACTCACACACATGAACTCACAGATGCATGCATGTCTGTATGTAATTTTATATACAGAGAGAGCGAACATGTACGCACCTTGTTCAAAGTAACTCAAAACAGAATGATGCAACCCATGTGTGTATAAGAGTGCGTGTTTGTGTGTGTGAGCAACGTCTATATATGTATGCTAAATATAATAAGACGTATTCACACCCATGCACATGCACACACATACACACATACGTGCATTTAATTCCAAAATAAACAACACAATGCAGTCGAAGTGTGAGCGTTGACGTCAGCTGCGCAGCCAGCGTACCGTACGCGTGCGTGTTTGTGTGTGTATGTGTAAGAATGCTTGTGTGTGTGTGTGTACATGTGACGTGTAGCATATTGATTGTGAGGCGCAAAGGCAAAGGGCCGCATGCATTGATAACAAAGTACAAGCGCGCGCGCGCGTTCAGGTGTGTGTGTGTGAGTATGTATTTTGCGTGTGTGTGTGAGCTTTTGTGAGTGCGAAGCAGCAGAGGTCATTGCTTAGCAGAGGCGCCAGCACGAGCGTCAGTCAGTCACATGTCAAATACAATTATAAAAAGAGATTACTCTCGCTTTGCACCGACTGTGCAATACTCTATCGTTATAAATTGAAATTCATACAATATAAATGTTCATGTTAACAGCAGTCGGCATTTACTGTTAACTTGTATAAGAATGTTTCACATGTGGTTTTTATATTAACTTAACATCCACACAAGCATGCTACAAATCTAATATGCCGCTCAGCTCAGTCGGCAGAGAGCGTACAACTACATTAGCAATTTGCCCTCTCTTAAGTGACTGACATTAAGGGAGAGAGTGGGAGAGGAGAGCAAAAGAGGGAGTAGGTGCAAAGTCCTCTATTGTCGCTTGAGCACGAGGCGACGTCAACGAACTGCAGCAGTGCTGACATTTACATATTTTTGAGGCTGTGCCATATGGGCGTGGTGGGCGTAATGTGGGCTTACCTCTCTCTGGCTCCTCTTCGAAATTAAATACTAAAATAGCCCGCACATGTCTGTGACATGTGACGCATGCGCAGTTCTGCTCAAACTGTGCGCAACAGTTGAACAGCTTGAACAGTTTGAGAGGAAGCGGCATAAAAAATGCAAGACAAGCCAAAAGCGCAAACCTCTCAACTACGAGCAAGAGTCGAAAAGGAAATAAAAAGCGGCGGTGGCAGCAAATTATTCGCTGTCGTTTCGACTTCAATTCCTGGAAAAACAAGCAGTGAAAAAGTAAAAAAAAAAGTAAGCTTCTGCACACACAGAAATATACTCGTGCATATATGTACATATGTGTGTACATATTCACAAAATAACACAGCAATAGAAAGAGCAAGAACGAATACAAAGTAAGAGAGATTCGTGCAGAGACGGATAAGAGACATACATACATAAATGGCAATGGAATGCGTCTTCTGCTGCTGCTGTTGGAGAAGACGGCCGGTATGTGAAACGGGTGTTGTTGTTGCTCTTGTCGGCTTTGAAGATTGACAAACTCAATTCGACGGCACACACACATAGCCACAAATACATAGGTGCATGCATCGGTGGCCTTTTGCATTGCCGATTCGCCTCGTGGCGAATTCGCTCTGTGCTTATTCGCTCACTCTCTCTCGCACTCTCTTATCGATCAATAGCGGCGCGCGCTTTCATTCATAAATAGAGTTGCCACACGCTGTGAATTCGCTGGAATTGCGGAAAGCTTTTTAATTGAATAAGAAATTCTAATATGAGATTATTAAATATAAATATAAATATAAATATAAATATAAATATAAATATAAATATAAATAT